CACCCCAATGAAAGAATAGACCATTCCAAGTTTTTACTTGTTGTTAAACAAATGTTTAAACAACTCTATTCAATTATTTAATTAAATGTTTTTAATCTTTATTTCTTTGTACTGGAATCTAATGAATAAACAGTTTCATTCCTTGAAATTTGAGATGATGATCTTAAATTACAGATCATTACTGCAACTTAACAAAGAAATTTATAGTTAAGTAATTTTTAAGATAGTTAATGTGGATAATTTTGGTACACACTATTTCAAAACATTTACACATTCAATTCTCCTCTTCCCTGTTTCTTAATTACTTCCCTCTCTGCCTTACGTGTTATAATTTACATAGTATAGGTGTACTTTTTGTCCTTCACCACTGTGGTAGTAGGGTAGTTTGAGAAACAAGCACCCAGTAACAGTTGCTAATAGATAATCCCTACAGCTCAACTGTTAAAGTTCAATGCAGTCATTTCTCCTCACCTTGACTTGATTCTGGAAGGTAATGGTCCAGAATTGAAAATATGCAGACTGCTTGATAACAAAACTAGTTTGTTTCTTAATTTTTAAGAGTAAAAATTGTTATTAATAATCAGAGTGACTAATATGTACACTTTATGCTTGTTTTATAATATATGAAAGGATTTTAAATTACATTTTCTAATAAGTAAACAAACAAGCAAATATTTACAGCTTCAGAGAATACAGGGCTTGGTAAGACAGTGATTAGTATGCTGGACTGCAGCTTGAAGAGTCCAAGATTAAAGCAGTGATACTGTTAAATAAAGTCTGCAGTTTTAGCTGTAGGCACATTATAAATGTGACAGTGAATCCAGTTATCCACAAAATCATTGTGGTGACACGTGCTACTGACTTACTGCCCTTCATCTGGTCAGTAAGCCAAAATTATGAACAGCCATGCTTGAATTCTAAGGTCTCTAACCATTTAATCAATGTGTTGAATAAAGTTCCATTCAGATAGATAATGTAAATTATTCTAATTTAAAGTATACAGTCCTTGTTTAAAGGACTCTTCTTTGTATATTCATAAGCCAAATAATCCTTTTTATACATGTTCATCTGATGACTATTTTGATTTCATGTTAAGCCATTTGTAAGTGATGAAATACTTGAAAGAACAACTTCTAAAACATTGTTAACATTTTATTATACGTGTAGATATCATCAATACATTCAATCAAGAAAAAAAATCATTTATAAAATAATATGTAAGGACCTGCAATGTAACCTGGTAGATATTTATTGCTAATAATTAAAATTTTTTCACAATTTTAGAAATTATTCCTAATTAATTTTTCTATCATTAGCTTTTAACTTTTTGAAATTCTGACTAAACAAAATACCCAAACAACAGGTAAACAAGTAAATGAATAACAATAAAACCCAACTGTAAAGTTAAAACTATCAAATTTCTTCTTGTTACTAATACATGTTTCATATTTCATTTACTATTCTAAACAATCCTGAAAAATGTTCTTCAGTCCTCTTAATTAATGTTAAACAACCAGATACTGCAAACTTTGAGACAGGGAAGGTTTCGTATGATGTTTAAAATTAAGCCACTTTTGGAAACTAAGTAGCCAGGTGACTGAAAAAATTTATTCTTTCCTTCACTTAGTCAGACAGTTGAAAAAAAAATTTGTTATAAGATGTTATTCTCCAATTTTATTCCAATTTTTTGTAATAAAAAGCAACAATACTATTCATGAAAAAAACTACAAATATGTTTTTCTTTAATTCAACATTTTGAAATATATAGTTTATCGAAGGAGTATTTCATAAAAAAATATATTTTTGACCCATTAACCCTCTAGATACAGGTTGGTCAAAGTATAGTGCCTGTCATGACTATTTTTTTTTACAGAGTCATGTTTAAAATTTAATCAATTTACTTTGTTATTAATATATGTCAATAAACTTGGTATTATAATGTAGTTTGTAATTCAAATTTTAGTTTCTTAATTTCAAAAGGAAATATACAAGTAAATTCTCAATCTTCACTTTAATGTATCATGTGACATTTCTTTGCTACAAATTATACATTTCAGAATTTTACACCCCTATGATACTTTCCAAGTTTCTGAGAACTTACACACTTATACATTAGATATTCCTATGCTAAATTGAAAACTTATACTGCCTGTTCTTGTTGCTGTAATGAGTTATAGGCTGAAACTCGCATACTACACCCTTCCTAGTACATGCTGTATTTAAAAAATGTGAATAATTGTCTCTGACATTTACTATTGGATTATTTATAGCCAATAGAAAGAAGATATTTTAACTTACTGCTTTCCTTATGAGGTTAGCTCATTCTCATGATTGGTTTTTGAGGTATTGTGCATTAATGTCATAGTTTGCTATCACCCAGCTCATCTCAACCACATAAGAAAAATATTCTAATGAACATATAGCTTAGTTAGAAAGTCAGTTCAATTACAATAATTTTAAGACATTGTTTCTTTGTTGTGTATTAATATTTTGCATCTAAATTGCTTATTTAAGATATATAAAAATTAAGTAAGGTACTAACAACACCCCTAAAAGAAAAAGATTGATTTTCATCAAGACTTCAAGAGTCCAAAAGTACAAGACCTAAATATATATACTTTATTTCTTATTTTGTATGTATATTTTTTATTATTGTTATAAAAATAACTAAAATGTAAAAATCAGAAAAATTAAATGAAAGAATCTAAATTAAAAAAACTCAATAGCATGAGCAGGGCTTGTAACCATAACACGCTGGTGGTAAGTCCATGCTGTGTTTACAAAAAGCTTAACCACTGCAATAATTCACTTTGGCACTAATATACATGGAATTGTATATAATATAATATTTAATATTTTTGTATATAATTATAATATAATTTAAATGACAAGGAGATTTAACTTGTAAAAATTGTCTTTAACAATGTACAGTTATTCTAGAATGAAAAAATGGTAATATAAATTTATGTCATGTTTTATGATGGTTAAAAGGTCAGTCAAATGGACAGACTGTATACAGTGCTACAGTACAGAAAATAACAGATAAAATACAGTTTTACTGAAAACTAACTATTGATATTAATTCAGAAGATTCTAGAGGTTATTATGTAAATGAAATTAGAAAACTGTACAATGAAACAAAAGGGAATCCTCAATAGCTGCCAAACATTTAGGCAGGATTAGAGTAAATTATTCTAGATCTTTTTTCCTTTTTATTAGCAATATTTTTGTGCCCCAGCAATATCAAGCATGGGGTGTGCTTATACCCAATTCAATTCTATTAGGCAGGATTAGAGTAAATTAATCTATGAGACCTTGGGCATGGACAAATACATCAATCGAAAGGGTTTGACCTCCTGAGTTCGAAACTGTAATTAGATCTCAAATCGGTTAAGAGATGACAGAGCTAAGAGCTAAAAGTTTGTACTTGAAGAAAAACTAAGAGCAGTTCTATGAGCCACCTTGCACTAAAACCAGTTAGGGTCTGACTCCATAAATTCACCTATAAATCTTTAGCAAAAACACTTAGTTAAAAAATTTGATTTTTGGTGTACAAAAAGCTTGTAAAGTTTATAAAAAGCTTACCAAATTTCATGAAGATACACTTACTACATTCAAAGTAATAGTATGTAAAATTTCAAGGTTATATGATGGTTGCAAGGTTAGCCAAAATGACCAAGCCCATATATAGAAAGGGTTAATGGTAAAAAAAACTGGCAAATCATAACTAACTTATACAAAACAAAATAAACTTTCAATCAGTCAATAACAAGAAAAATATTTACCAAAATAAAGCTTATAATTGTAACTATTCTTTCTCAGTTAGTTGAGCTTAAGTAGGATTATATGTTCAGATTCCCCATTCAACTGTTTTTCTACCATATTATTATCCCACAACAAACTTGACAGGTCATAAAAGGGAATTTTTTAAGTCCATGATGATTTGCTCAGCTTTCTCAAGAGTAGTCTCCTCCTGTTAAAAATATGTATATTTACTAATTATATATGTCTTTTTCTTAAATGAAATTAATTCAAAACATTACCCCAAAATACTGATACACACTTTTCATGGTATAACATACACCTAAGTCTTCAATTACAACTAATATTGCATCTCTAACCACTCCTGCACAGACGAGAGAGCTTCCAACTTGAAAATGTGTCATTTCTTTCGATCCTGCCCATTTCAGTACTTATATTACCAAAAATAAGTAAATCTACTGCACTAATTACACTAGAGCAGTGTTTCCCAACCTTTTTTGCTGCAGTGCCTCCTTCAATAAACACTCAAGCCCCTTCTAATAAATTTTTAATACAAGTACCGAAAATGGCGCCAAACGAGGTATGATCAACAAATGAGTGAGAAGCATTTGGGTGGGCGTTGCTTGCCACAAACACACACTCACAATGATTTTTTTTGCTCAAACGTGTTGAAAGAAAAACCCCTACTTCTTATTGTTTAATTTTAACAAATATAGCTTTTAAGCCCTCAAAACTTTTCTGTCCACCCCTTGCTGTCTCCTTCAAAGTTTATTACTCCCCTGAATTTTAAAAATGACCACTAGAGGCAGTACCATCCAGGTTGGGAAACACTGCACTAGAGTATTCAATGCTATATTTACCTTAGAAGTACTTTCCACTGAAAAATATTTTTTCTATTCTGTAATATCTGTAGCCAAGTTCTATGTTAATATCATAGTTTTCTGCTCTGTCCTTATGTTTGTATTTAATTGTATTCTTATGTACATTTTGCTTCATTTGTTTTTTATGGCAACCTTATTAGATATACATGACAATTTCAATTTAAATATAGTGCTAGTGTTAAATTTAGTTATTTTTACAAGCAACAGTGTATCACAAATTTGTTTACTTAACTGTGTGAATCATATGTTGTGCAGTTCAATTGTCGTAAATTGGCAATTGTTGTATTATTGCATAATGTTACTAGAACTTCTAAGTTTTTCTTGAGTATTATTACATCATAATATCTTGTAATGTGTAGAAAGTTTTAAGCCTCATTTGGGCTATTTATACATTCGCAACCAAAATGAAGTTCAATTAAGTTAGTTAAGTGAAAGATACAATCAGATAGATCCAGACTGAGTACTTGTGAGTTTAGCTGTAAAAAGCATATGGTGGTGCTTTTTTTTAAAAGTGAAATTATCACAGATTGTATTGTAGCAACAGAGTAGAGAAGATTAATTGTTTTTTCAATTATGTTCTAATGTAATTGAACAAACCTGTGTGGACTTTTGACAAAAAGGGGCCAATTATTTAAAGCTCTGGATATAACTGGTAATCAATGGTTATAGTAGTGATTTCCAAAGTGAAATTATCATAGATTGTATTGTAATAACAGAATAGGGAAAAATAATTTGTCTTGTTAAAGTGTGTTCTAAAGTAACTGAATCAGCCTGTGTGGACTGTGGTGAAAAAAGAGACAATTATTTAAAGCTCTGGATACAACTGTGACAACTGACAGTGTAACAACATTTGCACATACATTTGACTTGTTTTAATACATATATGATTGTAAAACAAGTGGATTGTGTGCTATTTGTATACTGTTGAAATTTATCACCAACAAGTCACAGACACCTACTGTAAAGAATCTATACATACCTCATCTAACAGTTTACAGATTTTGTCTAAAGTAGGCTTGCCTTTCCCTTTTTAAATTAATTATTTCAAGTTCTGCTATCATTTGATTATGCTTTCATTGCATTATTTTATACCCTCGTTGTTAACCATGAAACTTTAATATTATTTTCCTTTATAGAATACTATACCAGTTTAGGCTTGAATGTGTATCACACTGTTTTCTGTTGGAATATAAGTGTATACACACACACACATAAATACATATAAATATGAAAGTTTCATATAATATTTGAGCTTATTTTGCATTTCCAGTAATATTCTACCTATATTTGTACAAACTAATATGCCAAAATACTACATGTTTCTAGTAAAACTATCTGTATAATCTTTTATATTGCAATTAATGCACAATTCAGCCTTACTAGATGTAAATAAGTAAGATTTTAAGATACAAACCTTATAACCTTATTAACATTGTGATGTTTTTCAATAATTTTAAGTTAACCTGTAATATCATCTCCCATTAAGTTTTTGGCATAGACTACCTGCTTACACAATGCACCTTGAGATTGCTAAGCCTCATAATTCACAGATCAACTTTATACATGTAGTCAAAATAATCTGATTATAACTTAATATAAAAGTTTTAAAACACTTATATAAGTTCAGTTGTTATATATTCTTTGACATTGGTACAGGTAGTTTACTTTGTTACAATTTGCTTACCTTACAAAAACAGAAACGGATAAAATTTTCTCCTAAATTTCTGTGTTCATTGCAATAAAATGCACTGATTGGTATACCTTGAAGTTTCTACGAAGTACAAGAATACCAAAATGTTTCAGTAATTAATCTCAGCTACACTTCTTATATATCTTAAATACAAATTTTACATTTAACTATAGCACTGTTGGGTGAATAACAAAACTTCTCAGGAGTAAACTTTTGCATCTTACATAGAAGTCATCAAGCATAAAAGCATCAAGTATAAAAAAAAAAAGACTTCAATTTTAATCAGATTGCAAGAATTGCAATATTAATCTGACAAATACATGGTCTCCCTACATACAAAACTTTTTTCTTACATCCACTTGATGAGTAATTCTTCATTAATTATTGCACAAGTATACATGTTTTCCTAGTAAATGTTGTGAAAATATTTTATGGTTAATATTATTATGGACATCTAGCTCGCAAAAAAAGCATCAATGAAATCTATAATTATATTTTATTATTTATAGATAAATTCTTATATAATACACATATGTGTGATGTTTTGTGCATAAACACATCTATATAAACTTTTAAAACTCAAGCTCACTTCAAAGGATTTGCACAAATACACACACACAAATATATACAAAGACAGAAACAAGCACAAATTAACATTTGTACTATAAATATACAGTTGCAAAGTTAATAGCAGAAGTAAGCTACATATTTTAAACAATTAATAACAGATAAGTTTATAAGAATGATATTTACAAAGTAATATCTAGAACACAAATCAATAAAAATAAAATCCATCAAAATTAGAATCTGTAAAATTGACAAATTATGTAAACAGCATGATACATTTTATCATGACATAGAAATGTTTCAATAACGTATGTGGTATTGCACTAACCTTATTTCTACATAACCACTTCACAAATCGATAATCCTTCATTCCGGTCTCTGCATCAAGGTCTATCTTGGAGGCTGGAAATATACTTTATATATATAAATGTGTAGTGTGTATACCTATCTATGTTCTTTTCTTTTTGTACAGTAAATGTGTTCTATTCTTCCATTAGCTTTTCTCACTAGAAACATTTTAAATAAAATATTATCAGTACATCAAACTTACAAGAGTATCAATTTGCTGTATTTATTAATACAAATATGTAATATATATTTACAAAGTAAGTCCTAAAAATCTAACCTGCTGAGATATGTAAAACATCTCACTAAATACCTATTTCTGAGACATCAGCCATCATAAAATAGCCTCCTTCTGGAACAGTAGGTGCCATTCCTACAGTGGTTAAAAATTTGGCCATGCGATCTCGTTTGGGTTCTAATGTGTCCACAAGGTCTCGCCAATAACTCTCTGGAGTTCCCATATGTTCATTTTCAATTTCCAACCCAACTGCTATAGCCTCCTACAAAACGTGTTCAAATATATATTACATTAATTGTAAACAATGATACAAATATAGCAAAACATTGAGCATAGGATCAAACAACTGTTTTTTATAAGTTTTATAAGTATTGACATGTTCTGTTTTTCTTTAAGTTAGTGCTATTAATATTATTTATTATTATTATAACATTTAAAAAAATTTTTTTGTTATTATAATTATTATTATAACTTATTATATTACTGGGTGGCCATTGCAAGTTTTACTTTTCTTGTGTATTGACTGATGACATTATTTACTTCTAGTTAGTTTTTTGTCTGGAAGTAATTTCATTAAATCCCAATTTATTTGCAATTCTAAACTATAGAGGTAGGGTTAATTACCAATATGACCATAAGTAAGCTATGTGCATGGCATAAGTCCATTGAACCGATGTCATAAATGTGAAGTTATACATAATAATATTTAATATAATTCTGAATCTACTAAATATATCTTCACAAAACTTGGCATATTTTTAGTAAATGTTAGAAGCCTGCTGTTTAAAAAAAATCAGAAATTTTAATAACATATTTCTCTAAATATAGTTGCCTGTGAATTTCCAAAGCTTTTATTGAATCAATCCGAGTGCAAGGTAATTTTTGTGTTAAGAAAAAAATACTTCTCTTCATATTAAAGTTTTCAAATTTTATTTGCATAACCTATAGAACCTCCAAGTGAATATGAAACATTTTTTTGGTGAACTGTTATATTTTATCTGTTATTTTCTCTGCACTAACTATCAATGTATAGTTCAAAAATATGCAATATGATGAATAACATAATTTTTTTTACAGTGATTATACATCGTAATAGACAATTGCAATTATTTATCGTAACACCTTCAACTTCTAAACATTTCATATCTATTTCTTTAATTTTACCATTTTATTATTGTAATTTTGGATTGTTTCTCTCTCTCTCTGCATCAAAAGCAGTAAATCAGAGTGGGTGTTTTCAGTAGAGCTTAGGGTAAACAAACAATCAGAGTACAGGCTGTGTGTGTATCACAAGCTTCAGTTATATAAGAAGTGTCTAATTTTAAATTCTAGTTAATTTTGTTAAAAATATATATTACTAAAAAACCAATATACACAAAAAGATAATAAATTTTGCAATTATGTCTAGATTTAGCCTTTTTGCCCTCAGTGCTGTGGCACACTGGCCCTACTATTTTCTCACAAACGTAGTTGTTTAGATAAAAATTAACATACCCTTCAAATATGCATTTTTATAACACAAAAAAAATATATCTGGCACTAGAATGGGCAGCATAAAACTATTATAATGTAACTGACTATCTATATATAGGCTAAAAAATTCTGTTAGATTCCTTATTACAACAATGACACTAGACAACGAATCTAAAGCCAACTGTCTTTGTAGAGAAAAATTGTTTTTTCTTTTGTATATATATATATGTCCATCAAATAAAGGCCAGCATATGGTTTAGAAAACTGCCTTGAGAACTATGATACTATGGGAAGGGTTTCAATGATGGGAGGTTTGGTACATTTGTTGATAACTCAGCAAACTGAGAAGGTAAGAGGCTCAAATTGTATATTCTTGCCTTTCAATAACTTGTTGGACACTCTGAAATCCATAATGGGGAAAAAGAGAAAATCTATGAGGTCCCCTAGTGGCTCATCAGTAAGTCTGAGGGTTTATAATGCTAAAAATTGGATTTCAATACCCTTGGTGGGCAGAACATAGATAGCCCATTATGTAGACTTGCACTTAACAACAAACAAACCAACCTATTGTATATATTTTAATACTTTAGAATTGTAACTATTAAGCAGTGGCACAGAAAAGATCTGTAACAAAAATGCTAGAGTAAGATAAAAGTTTCCGTTCAAGAACAAATTTTCTCCCTGACCTCATACTAAAACAAAACTAATTCATGTGGCATGAACAGGTTTTAAGTTTTCAATGACCAGAGTAACACTTTTATAACTGGAATTTTCCAAACTGGTTCCTCTAAAAATCAGTTAGTTTGAAAGCCCATGTCCGTAACTGATACTTTTAAGTCATTTCTCACCCACAGATCCAACTATCTTGACACAATTTTCAACAGGAGTGACACTTTCATAGTGTTTTAAATACCCTTTTTAATAAAATTACTCCAACTGACAAGACAACACTTTAAAACCCTGATCAGAGTGACACTTTTCAAATAATGTACATTTATTGTTAAACTTATTCATCAATTACAACTAAGTATTAAAAGCCTGAACACATTAGAGTAACATACTTATAGAATCAAATTGTTTTGACTGGTATGTAGCTTTTCAATTCACAGACTACATATGAAAAAAAAAAAAGAGGGAAATGTTTATGATTTTTGCTTATATGAACAAGCAATAAAGAAAAAAAAAACAGTTTAATGAAACTGGCACTATGATTTTCTATAGTGAATGAATAGACATGTTTATTTTACCTGGAGTGGTGTGGCACAGGAAGAAATACAGTTCTCATGAAGTAACTGCGGAAATTTTGTTAGCTCCCGGGGCCCATACAGCCAACCTATCTAAAGGACCAAACAATAACTTTATTTATTAATGTCAAACTATCAAAATCTATATACACTTTAAGCATTGTTGTAAGATAGGTTATTTCACAGCCAATGTGGCAGTTTAAAGCAATGTATAAAGATTGTGACACGAAACATCAAAGTATAATAATTAATTTAAAACAAAAGAATTGAAAGCCCATAAAAAGTACAATGATTACTAGGAAATAAGCATTAGAAATTATGGCGTTGTACGTAGTGGAGATCTCACCAATATTTTGTACATTTTCTTGCCAAAGATAATCATTAATCCATTACAGAAATTAACTTTTAGAAATATATTTTAGTTTATTTATCATTATAATACATACAAGACACAGATATAATACAAACAAACTTGTTTATAGTTGCATGTCTTATTTCCCATGCTACTGACAAATCACAAGTTACCATTTATAAACTTCTGTATAAACATATCAGTTACACCTACATGTACTGTTAAATTATGGAGCTGTACTCATGTTTAAAAAATGTCCCTTGTTATAAATAAGACATGCATAATCATATAATAACTCTCATTGTGTAAATAATATTTACATACTACACATTCTTTTACTCATACATTAAAAAATAAGAACTTTCTTTCACAATTACATTTTTTAATAGTTACATTAACCAAATTAAAAATGGAAAACATTTGTCCCAGTCGCATTATGAGGGAGTGAAAGCACTGAGAAATATACATCCCAGCCGCAGTGAAAGGGTTAAGTACATGCATGAGAGGTTCTAGATCACCGTTTTATTTAATGCACGTAAACTTCAGCTTTTAGGCACAGGTGTACATCTTTCATTAACAAAATAATAAGTACCAATTATAGTAACAGTTGACTGTTGTTACACTTGCTATTAAAAATATTAATATATATTTGTTGGAGGTGGTGGCAAAAAATACAACTTTTTTTGGATACCTTTTAAGCAACTTTCAGTATGTTGCATGTTCACATGTACTCCTATGTGGTCACTTGAAGATTTACAGAAATGAAGATTTCAACAACCTACTTTTTATAATGCTCATTTATTAACTAAAAATCATTAACTTCTTCAGTTCTCATTTCTGCATTATTTTGCTGGATTTCCATGCATTAATAAGTCTACACTATAGATGTAGACAGTCTCAGTATTTCTTTTATTTGTCCTAATCTCATAGAAACAAGATTCCTTTTCTTTTCTAATTTCTAAACAATTTGGATTTATACTGAATAATTACATTTGAGCTTATTTTCAGTGGATGCTAGGTGGTAGATACTATAAAGAACATTTCTAACCATAAACATTTAAATTAGATAAGCAAGTAAACAGAAATAAAACACATTTTTTATGTTAGCCACTACAAAATATTATTTGGAACACATATTTTCCATATTAAACTAAACAAATAAAAATAATTATTGAATTTTACAAACGTTTATTGACTCTTACAAATGATAAAAATGGTAATTAAAGTGAACTTAAGCAAGCCTAATAACTTTACCTTCCAACCTGTAATACTAAATGTTTTCCCAGCACTTCCAATAGTTAGTGTTCGTTCCCACATTCCAGGGAGGGTAGCTGAACAGCATTATGAAATAAGATATATTAATTTATATAAAGTGAGGACAACTTTCATTCTATAACAACAGAAAGTAAAATTCCTTTACAGCAAAATTTGAATATTAGAAAACTTAAAAGTAAATGATTTTAATAACAGTTTCTCAGACCAGTTATAAATTGTTTGGTTTAGAAATTTCCAACTGCGTAAAATGATGACCATGAATATATTTTATATAATTTTCGGTGAAGTTCTCAACCTCACTAGCTGACTAAAATGCAACACACACTGGAATGTAAGCACGTTTAACAAAAAAAATGATCAAACAGTTACTGGTGAAAAGCTTATCTAGATATTTCAACTTACACTTTTTTTGTCCAATTACAAAAGTTGTCTTAGCACAACTAGCAGCTGACTTGCCCCTCGAAGAGAAATTGTGGAGCACAACATGGCGATGGAAGGAAGACAAAACCTTGAATAACAAGCAATGGCTATGTAGTGAAGATAATGAGCAGTAAAGTTGTGGGGAGTGGTCCACATACCAGCACTAATGATGTCCTTCAAAGGATGATGGAAATGAGCAGCCAGGGGTATGGTAAAGTGAAGAATTTAATGGGAAGAAACATGGAAAATACTGACTACAGTCATCTGGAGAAAGGAAAGAATATGCCAAATGAATCACCAGGCAAATCCTAAACATAAGGGGAGATATGAATGTGTAGGTATGAGTCCAACACATCAACCATCATCATCCACAAACCAGGAGGAAAAACCCAATGAAGGGCTAAGTACAACTCCATGGTGAAATGTTGGAGGACCAGAAATTGGTTCACAGCTGACAGATCAATGATAAAGCACCAGTTCCCAATTTTCAAATCAGGCTGGGTGGTTTCCTCCTAACCTCAGTCGAATATTTGTTCAAGGTACTTTGGTTTGGTTGTTTCAAAGAAAAGTCAGTTGGTCTATCTGTTGTGTCCACTGTGTGGAATCAAACCCTAGATTTTAAGACTGTAAACTTACCACTGTTCCATTGGGTGACTTTAAAAAGGAAATGTGGCCAGCATTCTAGATGGTCACCCATTTCCTCTGCACAGAATGCCAGTCCATCGCAGCTAAACCCTGAACTAAGATCTGGTACCCAACATACAGCTGGGTAGACTGGAACATGTAGAGGAAAGTGTCTTACTCAAGGACACAACAGTATAACAGGTCAGCCTCAAACTCTTACCCATCTGACTATGTGTCAAAAGTGTGAACCTACTGAGCCACATTGCTCATGGTAGACAAGGAAAAGGAAACTCAATCATTGGAGTTGAATCCCCACAAAGGGACAAGTGACTACAAACACTGTGAGTATAAGTAGGGAAAGTCAAAACAATGACATGCCAGAGCATGGTCATCCAAAGTTTATTTTGGTTTGGTTTGTTTGGAATTTCGTGCAAAGCTACACGAGGGCTATCTGTGCTAGCCATCCCTAATTTAGCAGTGAAAGACTAGAGGGAAGGCAGCTAGTCATCATCACCCACTGCCAACTCTTGGGCTACTCTTTTACCAACAAATAGTGGGATTGACCATCACATTATAATGCCCTCTCCGCTGAAAGGGTAAGCATGTTTGATGGGACAGGGATTCAAACCCATGACACTCAGATTGTGAGTTGAGCACCCTAACCACCTGGCCATGCTGGGCCGGTCATCCAAAGTACATGGGGGTCAAGGCATACTGACTCCCAAACCTAACTGGCCCCTAAAATGACTCGTGTGAACCCCAATATCTGGAGAGGGTTAGGGAACACTAAATGCTGACCCAATGGCTAATCACAGAGAAGGGCAGAAGTAGAATCATAGGAAACTTGAGAAAATGATAAAACATAACATACCTGATGGATTAGGTCCAAAAATGGAAAGGAGGTCTGGACACCTCCCCCGACATGACACACGACAGTGAAACATAGACAGGAGGAAGAAACAGGCTGTCCAAATCCTCATCATCATCGAGATCTGCAGGCAAACCCTCACATGGCATGAGAGGACAATCATCAGAATCCCAAATAAAAGTATCCAACTCCCTAAGAACTAGAACTGTTAGTTCCTGAGCAGATAAAGCTTCCTGAGATGCCACTGAAGTGGCAAGCAAAGTAGCTGTAGTTGCTACAGCAACTATGGTAGATGCCATGTGCAGGTGCGCGTGTATGACAAGTAGAGTTGACTGGTATAAAAGGTAATTTTATCTCCAAAAATAATTCTCGAAACTTGAATAAATTGTGGTGGAAAAAATTATCCAGATGAAAATTTAAACTATAACTTGAGCAAACAAGCAAAGAAATAAGTCAGAAAACATGTTTAAACAGTAAGACTGTCAATCAAGAAGTGATTAAGGGCTGCGTGGAAGAGAGGGCACTAGTAACAATAGGAGTTGTATCACACACCTATTGGTGGAGAGTTGCTGCATGATTATGTTAGCAAGCAAGTGTCTCATGTAAATATACATGATCATAGGTGGGAGTATCAAGGCTAGTGGATACAAAAATTTGAATTTGCACTTATAGAGGGCAGTACAAGTCAAGAAAGCTATTTGTGAGAGGAGGTAAGATATTATATCAGAAACAAATAAGTCAGTAACAGATGCTTAAAAATTTCAACAACAAAACACTTTTCATTTGGGCACATGTGTGGTGCCCATGTACTGATTGGTTGCTAAGTTCAGTACATGCACAATGAGAAAGATGCCAGCACAGCAGTGATAGTGTGTGAGTAGAAACTACTCTTAACAAGCATATTCGTGTTTGGCATATTGGTATAATTTTTGGTTTGTGGAAATAATGAAATTAGTATTTTTTTAATTCCTGCTTAGGCTCCCCCAGTGGGTTAGCACAGCCTCTGCTTGAAGTACAATGATGTTCCATACAACATATTCTAGAAGGTCACTCATTTCCCCCAGTATATTGTTTGTAGCAGAAAGTTAAGTACATTATACTAAAAATTATTTTGAATAAGCAAATCATCATCGAGATCTGCATACAAAAAGTCACAATGAAATAGTACATATTAGAAATACATTTTGACATTGTTTAGTCTTTAACACATAGTCTGCATAATGCTACTGAAAACTAATCACTTCTGGATAGGGTATCTAACAACCCTTTCTGATAAAGATCGTGGATTTAGAATTTCCAAGATAGGGATATCTCTTGTACTCAATGGCATGAGACAAAAAAGAAGTATGGATCATCTTTGCAGTGATAGAAAAATCCAGAAAGATACTTACAACGAATCATACCTCAACCATGGTAGGCAAAGTTTAACATCTTGTAACAGGTGAGAATCATCAAACAGAAAGGTCAATGGCAAAAGCTGTCCATGTCTCGGGCAACAGTATGCATTATAATCAAAAAGAATCTCCATCAGGATAAACTACAAATGTCACATGCTTCCACAACATATCCAACCAACCATTGCATACCCCAAGCAACTGGGGAATGAAACAGGTATTCACATTATTCAATATCAAAACATACATACCAGTCAAATCACCTATCACACGGTTGGAACAGGTGTTGGAAAATCATCATCCTCTTACACTAGGATATGGTGACATAGATCGTAATAACATGGTGAGGCTGCAAAATCATTTTAGTAAGATGTACACAACTTCTGTATTGCATGGGATGGTGGGACGGATACTGTAGTGTTTTTTTTTTAATGGTTTTACACTCGGGCTACTTTTTAATTTTTCATTAATAATTGCTTTGGTAGTGTCTAAAAAATGTTGGAATTTTTCAGGTAAAGTATGTTCTAAGTAAAGCTGACGGTTTTTGATGGGCCTGATTTAGAAACTGGTGGAAGCAAATCAAGCTGCTTAAACAATCATTCCAAACATCATCAATATACCTAAACAGACTGAAAGAGGTTGTATACTACAAAGCTGACATAGTCTTTCTATATTAAGTTTGATAGTTCCTTTTTTTTTTATAATATAAATGTGAGAATTGAAATAACCCACTAGTTAGCTAAAGATTAATTACCTATGATATATTAAGATATATTTTTTTTGTAAAATCTGATTTACATGTATAAGTTTTCTTCCTTACAGCCATTTTTTCTTATCCCTAATTCAAATATGCAGGTTGTAATAAAAATTATTTAATTTATTTCAAGAATTAAAAAGCATATTTTTGACTTTAACTGATATTTAAAATAATAAAAGTTCTTTTTTTTATGATTATGAATTAAAAATAAAGAAATATTCAGAAATTTACATTTTTTTAAAAAACTAATTGATAAAAAACTAAAATGTATGACTGGATATTGATACTTTAGGATTTGATATGAGGCTTACCCATGCGAATATGTTCTGACCCTTTGAAAACCAACCATTCATAAACCTCATCCATGACACAGATTACATTGTGCTTCTTGCAGAGTTCTGCTATCATCTCTAGCTCTGATCGAGTAAATACCTACAGCAGAAAACCAAGTTGTAACTAAAGTTTAAAAAGTAATAAAAACCTCTGATGTACTATAAATTAACAGTTCTATACAAATTAAAATAAGCAGAAAAATTTCTCTATATTTGCACTGATTAATAAATATGTTTCTTAAAATATTGTACTTCCAAGGCAAGACTGAACAGAAATACAGTCAAAGTGTTTACTAATACTATAATAATATATATACTACAATAATCTATAACTATTTTGGGTAAATAATAACGTCTTATACATAAGTAACAACATTATCAATGAAAGACAATATACACATTTCAGCTTATCATTTTCAAATGCAACTTTATACAATAATTTTATTTTAATGCTCTTTCAATAACAATATTCAATACATTATCAAGCTTTCCTTAGCCTTTTACCACACCTTAATGTTTTAATATTTTGTAGTTAATGTGATTGAACAACATTAAAAGCTACTTCTACAGTAATAATTCTTAAAGAGTTAGCATTGTACAGTTGAGAACCCAATTATACTGCCTCATTAATGTGGAAACATGTTAAATGGATTAAACCATTGTCATTAACTCTCATGATTGTGAACTTTAAAATTAATAAAAATCAGTAAATTACTATTTCTGTAAATGGTTTATATCAACTTTGAATAATTCTAAAGAAATATTTACACAATAATAAAATATTGTGTCTTGTTTTTAATACAAAAAAGTTACTTATGAATTATGAACTGCAGCTTTATGCATTCAATTCTCTTTTTAAGCTAGCATTATACGTCATTTAGTAAATGGAAATCTTTTCTTTCTGCTGTTTATAAATGATTGTAATAGCAAATGTCGGGCAGAAAAATTTATTGACATTTTGTGAAAAATAGTATGTGATGGACCCGCCATGGGCTTGACTTTCTAGTTTATATATCTGTCAATCAAGATGATTGGAGGCAATAAACTTAGTCTATGTCTCAGCAGCATCTAAGCTCCACTATATAATTTGTATTAAAACTCAAAACACAGAAAGCAATAACGACAAATTACTGGACAACAAAATAAACTGCAATTCCAATTTGATAACTAAAATTTGTTCACGATAAGTTACTTAAAATTATACTTCAGGTATTATTGGTGTAACTTTCAATTCTATAATTATCATTACTAAAATTAATGGTAAATAATTTATATTATAAATTTAAATTAATTAATATAAATAGCTATTTTTTTAAAAGACTACAGTAGTTAAAATACTGGATCATTTTATCTTTGGTGGAAAAAAAAGTTATTAAATATGTAATGAATTTGTTGTCATGTATTTATTTTTAATATGAACGTTGTGTAGATTAAGTTTGTATTTAAAAATAGGCAATTTTTCTAGTATTTAACCTTACAAAAATATACATCTGATTAAAAAAAAACAACTGCAAAAGGCAGAGTTAATGGAAGAGTTTTAAAATATTCTTTTTGTGTATTTTTCTCAAATTTCTGTCTTTACAAAAAAAACCTCACTCACAAAGAACATAACCACAGAAATCATATGTCTCTCAAAATAATTCAATGAGTCATAAATCATATCACCATATTCATTCCTTACACCATAACTAAATACACTGATGTGTTGTTTCTTGAGCCATAATATTATGGCAAAGGTGATTTCACGTAATTCAGGTTTAGAAGTGTTGAACTGGATTTACGAAACCATAGTTACTAGCTATGTGAAAAGAATTTATAGAATTGTATGCTATTTTAAATTTTGAATTTCTAAAAACTCTATTACTTAAGCTTATGCACAAAAAGTTTGACTGGTGAGCTAGATGGGCTACATTTTAAAGATGAATAGTGCTAAAAGATAAAATGTTTACCTTTCCAAGTGGGTTATTTGGAGTGTTGACAATGATCATTTTCGTTTTGTTTGTAAACTTTGAAGCCAATTCTTTGGGATCTAGCACCCAATCTGCACTTGATATAGGACCATGAGTCTTCTTCTGTAAAATATAATATACACACTTATTAGGCAAACAAGAGCTATGTATATAATATTCATGATTTCTCTCATCAAAACTGCAAATAGGAAAACAATTATTTGAGGTATATGTCAATTATAACATGATTAAAGTTGAAGGGGAAAAAAAAAGGCTATGTTGTGCCATCTTACAGTTAGAACACATCCAGATTTGTAACTGATCCTTTCAGTCAAAATATATATGTGTTCTTTATGTGCATGCACATGAAGTAAACACACCATAAGTTACCTTTTTATATATGTACCTTTAGAAAAACAAATGTAGTATGAAATTCATTCTCAATGATGCACATTTGTATTTAAAAAAAAGCACAGAAAATTAAGTAATTTTGACATGCTATACCAGCATTATAATTTAAAATGTCTGGAAAGCTGTTCTCACTAAAAGGTTTTTAATTTGTAAAATATAATAATGGACATAAACATATTAAATCACAACTGATATTTTCAGTACAAAAACTGAACAACATAACACTAGTTTGGAATTTAGGTGTCATCTGAAAACATTTAAACACAACAGTCTGTGCATTAAGGTAACCTAAATACAGCTATCATACAAATAATATTAGTTTCTGCTTTTTAATACATTCCATTTCATATCACTTTTTACATATTTTTCTGTAACTAAACCTATACTGTATAAAATTACTAACTAGTACTGTGACATTAGAATTTAAAGAAATAACAATTAAGCTTCATTATAAAATGAGTGACTAAAATATGTTTCTATACTTTACAAGCTATGATTTGTTCTTCAAAGTATATTGTTAAAATCAGGGCCCCATAAAACTGTTAACTATGCACAAGTTAAAATGTTCTTAATCTGAAAATATATTTCTGATAGATACTCATCTCCATGACACTAGCTTTGAGCTAACTCCCACCCAAAATTTACATGACTAACGTGAACTGCACTAGCACATGATGATACTGTGTAATTTTGAGAAAGGGCTTGGAAAGCTTAACAAACCATCCCAGCTGATCAGCTTCTTGCAGAAGTAGGGAGGTGTGGAAGAAGGATTCCTCCAAAAATAGTGCTAGAGAAAGCCAATCATCCATATAGAAATGGAAGCTCATCTCCAGACTATGAAGGTATGGAGCAGATGCCCTCATGACCTAAAGAAAGACATAAGAAAACAATGCTACGGTAAAGGGAAGCACACAGAAATGAAAAAACTAGACTTCGATGAACAAATTTCAGAAAATATTTTGTTTGATGGGACAATCAGAATATGTAGTAAATCATCTGATACACCAACCTTGGTCATTCACAGTCCAGCTGAAAAATATCAACGAAAATTGGTTGAGAGAGGATTCGCAAGAATAAAACCCCAGAGTACGGGTATATACCACTCATTGGCATTTTGACCAAAAGATCTGAGAACAAGTTCTTGAGATGCTGAGAATAAATGGGGTCTGAAGGAGGGGGAAAGGAAATGGGAACAGAGGAGAGTGAGGGAAAGGATGAGAAGAAGAGAGACAGACTATTGGTGAGAATGTGAGGAACTATCTGTTGGCCCGAGAAATGAGTCCAAAGGGTGGCAAAGTGGAACAGATGGACATCCACTGGGCCTGACCCAACAGGATAGTGTTAGAAAGGAGGGAATGAACCTCACCATCAAACCTCTATGGAGCATAATGAACTGCCTCAGACATGAGGTGGAAGGATAAGAGGTAAGACAGGAGAAAAATACATTGACTCAAAAACTGGGTACTAGAGAACAAAATAGAAGACAAGGGGTCTGCTCTCCCAAACAGGTAAAAGAGATCCCAAAGATTGGAATTCGAGAAAAGAGAAGAAAGAATGGTCAACGTTGTCATTCTCGGACTGAGGTGAGAAAACGACGACCACAGTGATGGGAGGAGGAGGAGGCCCAGCATACATAAGGAAATCCACAACACGTTGTACAATGGCTGTAACATGCTAAACAGTCAACAAGCCTCCAGAAGTCATAGTTAGAAATAGATCCTGTGTTTGAAATATCTTCATTGTCACAGGACACAGTAGAAGACACCATCACTTGAAATTCAAGAAAGTAATTAATGATTTTAAAACAAAAGCTAATTTAAAATGAAACACAAGTTTTGTTGACAACCATAAATACAATACAATGCTGAGGAAAAAAGTGACATTATTTCAAGTTAAAGTGATTAAGGGAAGCCACTACATATGGAGGTTGTGTCACCCTCCTATTGACATCATCATGCACAAGTGCAGTTCAAGGTAATCATGTGAAATTTAGTTTGGAATTGGCTCAAGGCCATGGGCATCAAAAGAAATTATTCAAGGGAGGGGCAAAGTTTTCCGGCAGGGGCAAAGTAGTGTGAAATTGCAAATTTAATAGAAAAATTTATATACATATGCTGAATGAATAAAGAAAGAATTATGTTTCTCATTTTCCAGATGGGGCAAGTGCTATTACTTAGGAACATTTATGAAGCAGTTGAATCTTTCTTAAGTAATGTTTGTGTTAGTTACATATAGAAGTAACAAATGACTATTCTCTAGTAGCAATAATTTTCAAAATGATTCATTACTCACTTCTTTGTTGTGTAATTGTATATAGTTTGTTTGTTTGTTTTGAATTTCGTGCAAAGCTACACGAGGGCTATCTGCGCTAGCCGTCCCTAATTTAGCAGTGTAAAACTAGAGGGAAGGCAGCTAGTCATCACCACCCACCGCCAACTCTTGGGCCTACTCTTTTACCAACGAATAGTGGGATTGACCGTCACATTATAATGCCCCCACGGCTGAAAGGGCGAGCATGTTTGGTGGGATGGGGGATGCGAACCCGCGACCCGCAAATTGCAAGTCGAGCGTCCTAACCACCTGGCCATGCCGGGCCCAAATTGTATATAGAAACAAGATTTGTTTTACACAAGTATAACCATTCTAAAAATTCATGAGTGAATGCATAGAAAAATATACCAAAGCATGTCAACCACATTATATCTGCCATATCTAGTGCTGACGAGGTCTTTCATCCAATACCAGGGCTCACCATGCCAGTTGGGACATGACACACATAGTAGTGGTCTCGATCCTAGTGTGTGAATAAGATTAAGCAAGTGAATTGTAATTTTTATCAATTATAACCCATACATCCTACACATACTTTGGTCGAAAGTGTTTAGTGTATAAAAAAGATCTGAAAAAGAAAGAGGTAATAGCATGTTAATTGTTTCCCATCTGCTCTGAAACTACTGGGGGACTCAAAGTGCCATATGCACCCCCAATTATTCTTCAGGCAACAGAAATAATCTCAAAGTCCTGAATTTTACCTTGGTAGTATTATTTTTTTATCATTTTTACACATTAATGCTTTAGTACAAACATATTTTTGGTCTTTTCTATACATTCACACAGTATGTTAAATATTATCTAAGTCTCTTAAACACTTATTAGTAAGCATATGTCTGACTGGTTTAAGTTATAACACTACACATAAAAGGTAACCATATTTCATCGTGCAATATCCTTGTTGACTGTTTAATCTGTAAGGGTTTGTCCTAATGTTCATATATATAAACTAATACAATATTAATTATCAGCATCTCCTTATTGTTAAACAATACTTTTGAGAAAACTTAAAACTCACTGCATTCTTGTACTACAAAAGTAAGCAATGTACTTGACTACAATGAACAATTTACACAAAGTAATAAAATAATAAATGTAAAATATTAAAATTTCATATGTTTAAAAGTTCAATATCAAATTACTATTGCCACTCCTTGATTATTTTAAATTATGGTTAAGTGGTGTGGTTCTTTATCAAATTAGATCACAAACAAGGTATTCTCACTTTTGCTTATATTAATATAAACAAGTCCTGACAGCAAATTATTTAATTAACTGTACAGTGATCCCTCACATAACGAATCTAATTTGTTCTATGAAATCCTTCGTTATGTGAGTATTAGTAATGCATGTTAAACGCCCAGTTTGTACTATTATAAGTTAACCTATTAGACCTTAAAAACATAGTTTACAAAATTAAAACACTAATATGTATTTGACAAATAAACATTGTAAGAACATGGTAAAGGATTAAAATTAATTGAAATATAGAAAAATCCATGCATAAAGCATAAAGATATTCAAACAGTAAAACAATTTTTGCCTTAGGTTAAGAAGATGACTGGCTTAGGGGGGTTAATGGAGAAGTTTTGGTAGGAGAAATTTAATTTTTGGAAGGAGAATCTTCATTATAATCTCTGGGGGTTCAGGGATGATGCAGGAAGAGGGATTTTCCAAGTTGCTGGATGCTGATGGCTCCAATATTGGCTTATTTCTAAAGAAGCTGTCAAGAGTTGACTGCTGTTCTGCTTTCCTCTTCTCCATTAACAACTTCTTAAAATAGGGTACAACTTTGTCATCAAACTGACAGATTTGAAGCTTTGTTTGCTCTATGGATGGATGTCTGCTGACATATTTCTTGTCCTAAGAGTTTTAAAAGTTCATTCAGCTGTGCAGTTGTCAAGGTGTCATCATCTTCTTGTTCCTCCTCCCCACTGTCATATTCAATGAAGCTGGCTGATTCTTGCAGGTCCTCTGTGGTGAGCTGCCTATTGTGAGAGTTAAAAAGGTCTTCCACATCATCCTGGTTCACTTCTAGCCCCATAAATTCACCAAGTGAGACAATTTCTTGTTGTACAGCAGTAACATCTTCAAATCCTTCAAAGTTTTGCTGGATTACTGGCAAAAGAGGTCTCCATGCAGCATTCAAGTAGTGCACTGATACTTATTGCCATGCTAAGACAATGGTCCTTACAATCTCCAGAATGCTAAACTGAGTCTTTCAAAACTCTTTCAGTGTTAGCCCCTCTTCATGTGATGTAGCCTCGAAACACTTGTGGAAAACCCTCTTGGTGTAGAGCCTCTTGAAATTGGATATCACTTGCTGGTCTATAGGCTGGATCAAAGATGTGGTGTTAGGAGGCAAGAACTTTACTTTGATGAAAGGAAATTTGGTTATCAAAGAGAAAGCAAGTTCAGGATCATGACCAGGTGCATTATCCAAGAGTAACAGAGCCTTCACTTCCACCTTGTTCTTAGTTAAGTACTTCTTCACAGATGGGCAAAAAACGTCAGAAGCCCATTCATAAAAACAACTGCCCTACGGTTGGATTTCCAAAAGACCACCAATTCACCTCTGATGACTTTTTGTTGCTTAAATACCCTTGGATTCTCAGAATGGTACACAAGCATGGGCTTCAATTTGAAATCTCCTGATGCATTAGCCCCAAGCAACAAGGTAAGCCTATACTTTTGGGGCTTATGGCCTGGCAGAGCATTTTCTTCCTTGGTGATGTAAATTCTCTGGGGCATCTTTTTCCAAAAGAGCCCAGTTTTGTCCACATTAAATACTTGCTGGGGCAAACAGCCTTCTTCCTTCATCGATTCAGCAAATTCCACTTTGAACTTTTCTGCAGCCTACTTATCTGCACTGGAAGCTTCATCATGTCTAACCACTGAATGGATCTCACTTCTCTGCTTGAACCTTCCAAACCAATCCTTACTTGCCTGGAAATCTTCAAAAACTGAACCCAAGGATTGAGCTGATTCATGTTTAAGGTGATCAAAAATGGTTTTAGCCTTCCCACAAATTATACTGCTATCTTTGGACTCACCTTGCACTTGCCTATTGTTAATCCAAAGCAACAGCAGTCCTTCCATTACCACAATTCTTTCCCTTGCTTTAATGACCCTGGTTGAGGCATCACTCACTTTGGTAGCTTTAATTTTCTCATTATTTAGCAGGATGGTAGAAATTGTTGATTGGGACAAACCATACTCCTTAGCAAACAAACTTGTTTTGACCCCTTGTTCTGACTTCTCAACAATTTCCTGCTTTATCTTAAGGGTTATGCAACTCCTTTTCTTCTTATCTTTTGCAAGTTACCTTTAGGGTCCATTGCAATCAATATAAATTCAATTTTAAATCAATAAATTCAATAAAATCACAGTGTCTGCAAAAGACCTCTTTCCACAGCCACAGCACAATGGCTGAGGCTCGCCAAGTTTAGTTAGGAGCACTCTGATTGGCCAAAATTGGTGTGATTCGTTATGTGGAAAATATTCATTGTGTGAGTCAATGGGGCCTATGGGAGGCAATTCATTAAGCTTAAATTCGTTATCTGATGGCTTTGATATGTGAGGGCTCACTATATATGAAATTGGGAGTTTCTTATTAGTAACAAACAATTTTTAAAGTTGTTAAAGTGGAAAAAAATAACATTTGACACAATAGTGAGGAAAAAATCCTTACAAGAACACAAAATGAAAATGAGATTTACTTTGTAGAATAAAATAAATACAAAACCATTAGAACGTTTTCAAAATTGGTACCTTTGTATTTTTTTTAAATTTGAATTACTGTTTCCTGTGATTATAGAGATCTTAAAACTTACTGGTCGAAGTGGTACAAAAACAGGAATCCCACCAGCCATTTTAGTCACTGGTTCATAAATATCAAAAAATGGTTCAATAATAATGACCTGAAAATTAAATAAATGGATAAATTCTTTGATAAAACCTTAAATTAATGAAACATATTTGCATACAAATCTAAATAAAACTGCTCTACTCTAAAAATGTGCTTTACTTTTAATCATCATCTGTAAACAGACATAGATTCATATGTGTAAAGCTGATCTACGATTAAACATTATGTTTTGCCTTATAGTTTCTTCTATGCAAAATCTGAATAGCGAGTAAAAATTTTTTAATTGTCAATACTTATCCTAGCTTCCAAATTAGAAACAAATTTGTTTTATTAAGCAATCAATAAAACAAGCACTTCCATCCAAAACAACTTTTTTCTAATTATACCTTGTTAATAAGATCATATAAATAACTGGTTCTTCACTCAGCAAATCAAAAATTGTTAAACTACAGAATTTAAAGTTCTTATATATATATATATATATACAGAGTTAATCACACATTATAAGAAGTAGTTGCACATGCTAATGCAGTTGTGCAATAGCAGGAGTCACATTTTTAACACCTACAGTACATATTTGGTTCACATTGAACTTCCAACAGTTTGGGTAGACTAATATATCTGAACAACTTTTTTTTAAAGAAAAGATATTCTTTTAACAAGACTACCAAAATAAGGTTTTAAAAAGAGAACCTTCAATATTTACCGTGGAAGCAGTAAAACCTTTAGAGCAGCAAATTAAGAAGGGCAGTGGAAACTAAACTTAAACACCAAGCCAACCCTATCTCAAAATGAAAATTGTGGTTATGAAACAGAACTTGGGTAATATCTCTTGGCATCCTTAACATGATAATAAATAAGAATATAAAGCTGATGAAGGCTTGCAAGCCAAAAACTCATAAGCTTCAGCCACACCCACCCAAACTCAATGGCTGTTTTCATGAGAAAATGGAATCAAAGCAATCCCATTTTACCACTTCTCCTACCTCTCAGTGTAGCTCTAGTAGATGTTTGTACTTTAATTTTGCTTAAATATGATTTTGAAAACTGAGTTCTGCACTCTATGGATTATCTAAGGAAACTATGTTGAAATACATTGTCTAAGATTGATCTCACAATTTTTGTGCAGAAGCTTTTCACAATTGAAATTTTGGTATCAAATAATAGTGCATCAGATTGAGTACATATATTGTGGAGGAACTTGGAATACAGTTCTTATAAAGTGTGATTTACAGTCAGTACTGAGAAACCTGTTTAGTTCAAAGAACAACTCTTTTCTTTATTTTTTAGAAATAGTTTCAAAATATGTATTTCTAAAAATACAAAGATTTGTTAACAAACATATATAATTAAATGATGTTATAAGAAGTTATGCAAATAAAAGATAAATCATGAACTCTTCTACATCTTCTATTATTTAGGTCAGCACAAGTGTTATTAAAACACTGTTGAACTAAACTTTTCAAACAAAATACTTAGGATTGTCATTAGTCAAGAATACTACTTCGAAACATTTTGTAGACTAATGAATAAAGCCTTCCCAGGAATGTGCAATAAAGTGAAGATCTGTTAACTTCATTTCATTATTAATTTCTCAATATATCGAGAACCACTAACATTTTGCAATCAAAAACGGGGAAAATAAAATCATTTTTAAAATACAGCTTATCCAATAAGAAATTTATGTTTCTAACAATTGTTTGTAAAAAAAAAAGTAACAGCTAACAATACAATTTCACGCTTAAGTTAATCTCTTGTTCTTTATATACATCACAGCATTAACCTGTTAAACAATACATGTATATACATGCCTTTCTTTATATAAAATACCTCATCTCCAGGGTTAACTAAAGCCATAATAGTGCAATAGATTGCTTCATCAGCTCCAATAGTGACTAAAATTTCATTTAATGGGTCCAGTTCACGACAAAGCAGCTTTGAATACAATTTACTTAAGGCGTTTACTAACCGTGGGTGGCCCTGTAAAACATCATAAAAAAGACAACAATTAATATCACAGTAGTAGCGCATAAAATTAATAAAATATCATTGCTATCTTTTATAATTATAGTGTAAAAAGTGTTATAACACATATTGTGATCACGTATGGCATGAAAAGCACATTTTACCTTAACAGGCCTGGTGCACACAAGTGTTTCCCAAATTTATTCTAGGTGGGGGCAAGTCCATAACCTGCAAACACAAGGAGCATCATTGTTTGCAGGGGGGCTCCTCCAAAAACTTTTGAAAATGAGATGCCTGTAAATGATATTATGTGGTATTGTGAATCTTTTTAGCATGTAAAAATGAACCAAATGATGATGAAAACAATGGTGATGGTCATCAATAAACTTGAAAGTGAGAAAAGAAGATTGCTGTTATTTATTTGATGAGCAAAATGATAGCCATTGTAGAGTGCAGGCCATTGCCTTGAAGTTTGAATGTGATGCTCTGTCTGACTATGGCTTATTTATGTATGCCTAATTTCATCATTTATATTGAAATATTATTATTTTCCAATACATTTTTTAAATATATTATTCAAAAAAGTTTTTATTAAATTCCAGATATGGGATGCCCCCCTTGCCCCATCCGTGCTGGTGCATATTTTATATAACAAATATTCAACTTATGATGAATTGTAGGAGATTATTTAACACTGGGACTCTAATATCTTATACATAAACATCTAAAATGTTCTTCTACTTATAATTATCATTAAATGGTAACAACTTTAAATTATCACTAGATTTGAGTAAGTTATATAAAATATTCTAAAAGTTGTTGTTTTGTGTTTTATAATTTTTGGGTCAACATACTGTTTGCAGCAATTTAAAACTTCAGATACAAATTTCAAGTTTAAGAACAAATTTAATGCAGTCATATAAAAGGTAATTAAATACGAGTACATACACTGCTCAGTACTTTTATACTTAATATGCATTTTATGTATTTTATATGTATATTAATATCTATTTTCCTATGAGAAATAATAAAATAGCTGATAAGCTCTGGCCTTAAACGAAGACTTGCTGACAATGTCCAGCAAGAAAATGCACCTGAAGTTCTATGACATACTTTTCTTATTAGTATCATTCAAACTAGTGCATTTAAGTTTTCAAACTTACTGAAATATTACATCATATTTGCTTACACTTGTAAAGAAAATTATATTTCACAAACTTTGACATCATATACCATACAGCTTGTTGTCTCATAACTAAATGATATAATAAATAGTGTCACTAGTGAGCTTTGGTTTTGTAATAAAACTATTCAACCTAACAAGCTTTGGTGTTAATAAATGGGAGGAGGCAGAAGATATTCATTGTAAGTTACCTATAACAGAAAAGTGTGCTAAAAAAACTACACATTTAACCTTTTCTGAGCAAGTTGAGAGTGACATTTTAAAACTGTATCACTATGTTAACATCACACATTCGATGAACCAACAAAAGAAAACAAATCAAAGGCAGCTTATTCCAAAGTGACCTCCTTTTCGTTTTTCATAGATCATTTAAAGACTGTGTTGATTACCGTTGATTGGAACAGCATTTTGTGATGGCCATCTGCCCCAGCGCTTACCACAGTCCCACAGGGGGACTGATAATCCACCAGACTAAAAGAAAGCACAAGAAAAAGTGAATCTAAAGTCTCTCCAAAATGTCGAGGATTGCCCTCAAATGCAACCTCAGAGCCTCCCAGAGGACCACCACAGATCCAAATATATATGTCTCCATCTCACTACAAATAAGATCACTGATAGTCTCACCCAAGAGTGACTCGCCCTCCCACCAACTGTTGTGCAATGCTAGATATCAGAGGTGGGAGAGGAGAGAGACAATTCTCTTATGTGCTGGACATAATAAATAATTCATACGTAAGTCGGCTTGCCAATTGGAAGTGAAGCAATTGGATATTTTTGAGGGAATTTTACAATTGCCTCAGTATTTTTAGCATTTTAAAAGACTTTAAGAAAGAAATTATAACGATTTTTCTGAGTTCTATAAGTGAACATATTCCTGAAGAAATGGCATAAGTAAAAGATGCCTGTGTTATGAAATTAGGTCAAGAGCTAGGAAAATACAGTTAGCTGATTAAGTGGTACTGAAAATTGTGACTTAAGAGTTTAGAAAAATTAAGTTACAACAGAGATGCTGAGAAAAATACTCGCCATAAGTTTGACAGTGATAAGTTACTGACACCGAGTTAGTAGTACAGTAAAGGCTACTAAAAAGTTTATGATAACATCTCAAATTGGTGCTTTGATGCGAGATCTGTTACTCCAGACATTTGTAATAGTACAAGTAAAAAGGCAACCGGAGCACTCACCATCACAGTAACCAATTACTTAAGAGTTTTGGTTCTTGTTTTGGAATAGCCTGAGAAGATTGACCAATAAAGTGTTAGAACTACTTGCAGGTAGTTAGGAATACTACTTGGAAAGTCGAAAGAATACAAAGAAAATATGGTTTAAAATCTCGTGTCTGGAGGTAAAAATCAGTTCTCTCCGGGAGGAATTGAGATTCTCCCCAGAGTTGCTGATAATCCAGAAACTATGAACATGAAGGTGTCCCAGTTACAACAAATTACAAGATCAACTGTGTTGTAAGTAATGAAACTATTTCTCTCTTCATCAGTTAATGTGAATTTGGATAGGTTCTACAGAAGTATATGAAAGTTACAAAAACTTGATGTTATATGTGAGTTATAATTATCAGTGTTGTTAACCTAAACATGCTCTTTTATGAAGAGTTAACAAATAATTAAAGAAGTGTATTTTATGTTAAGAAACTTAAATAAACTAGATGTATTGTGTTGAATATCAGTCTCAAGATCAGTTTCTTTAGCTTCACTCACCACTGCAATCCTCAAATAAATAAATTTGGTGTAATCAACAGTATAGTCGAAACTCCGACAACTAACCCTAATGGTGCTGTCCATTACAGAAGGAATTTTGTTTTATTGTTATTAATTTTTACGAAAATCAACTTGATAACACTAAAAGTATCTCCAAATGATCATAATACTGGGAAACCTGTTACTGACGCTTTGTCGAGAAAAAAGTGATAACATTATCTGAATGAGGTGCTTATATACAGTACCAGAATAGAGGGTGCATTGACATAGGTGGAGAGTATCACGAGATAAGTATCGCAAAGGGCAAATGAGTGGGGTATAAAACAGTGGAGCAAGTGGGAAAAAATCAGACCAATGCTTATGGGCAAAGGAAGAAACCCCGGAGGTCGAAAAATAGCTATAAGTGTCAGCGGAAGTAAGTATGTTTTGGAATGACATATATTGTGATTGGTAGATTTAAATGTTGTATTCTGGAAATTTTTTGAGCCCTTTATAAAAGTTTGCCCCACCATTCAAAATCCTTAAAAAATGCCCTGCTAAGAAGGTACAATATACATTAGTTTTGCTCCATTATCTATGATGCAAGGTCTTATTCACAATACGTATCAAAAGTTTCCAAGTCTGAATTTTAAAAAATTCAACTAAAAAAGTTTAAAGTTGATATTTAAACAAGGCAAGGAAAAGTAGAAACTTCCAAGTTCTACTATTTATTCAATGAAAATAGTGAGCTGCTGTGAATTTTTTTATATACTTCTTTTATGTAAGAGAAACAAGTTTGTGTTTATACTATCAATTAACACACAGCAATATTTCAAGGTCAACAAAATTCATCTTCAAAGATAAGCACAAAAGATATACGTATTAACAGAAAATGATACTATAATAAAAAATATGACACTTTGAATGTATTTTTGAAACACACACAATATGAAATTAATTTCTACTGTGCTCATTCACACACATGTCAATACAAACTTACATAACTTCGAGTGTACTGATTAAGAAAAATATCTGGCTGTTTCAAAGCATCACGTAAGGCTTTTGTAATAAACTCAGGAGCTGCAAAATCAGGAAAACCTTGTCCTAAGTTCACTGGCTTCACCTCCTTGGCAAGTTCGATCAGCTCTACCCTGGGAAGAAAAATTAAGGGTCTCCATGATAAGTTTATACAGAGCACTATCTCCACCTCAAGATAATTATGAAAAAGTGTCAAACTGTACAGTAAGTTTCATGAATTAATGAAAGTTTCAAAGAACCATTCTTTTTGTGGTGCAGTAATCATTACTTTTCTACGAGAAATATCCAATAGATATTCATAAATAATAAATAAGCCCACAAAATGTAATAACATTGAGCAAAACTTTTATTTTTTACCAATGAACCCGAATGAACAGACTTCTCCTTTCTTCTTCTCTGCAGTACCATTAATATGCACTTTAGGTTTTGTGAAAATGAAATATATTACTTGAGAATGTAGCTAATATGGAGCCATCCAACATGAGACAGAGCTCAAAACTCATTCACAGAATTTACTAATATTCAGATTATTAAGCTGTTGGTAAATATGGGGTACGCTTCTTTTTTCAAAGGAAACTGGAACTAGTAAGAATCTACTATGTTATAAAAAAACAAAGTATGTGAAAAAGTTTTCAAAATTTTTAATTTATCAACTCTAGCACTTAACAATTTGTAATACTGCAGCTCTAGTCATATTTGATTCAGTTGTTTTTAGGGTTATATTAATTCAAAAATCACAAACTCTGGAAATATTTTCTAAATGCACCCACAGATTAATAATTAGACATTAACTAAAGTACAAGTATTTTTTTATACAATGGTGTATACTTTACTGAAAGTGTGACAGATTTATTATTCTATATTCATTTTAATATCAATGTTTGTTTAAATTAAATTTATATTTAGAAATGTACATAATTTCTACTGTCGTTGGAAGACGATTTGGCTGGGGGAAAAGTTGTTGCCAAACCCAAAATGGTTAGTGAGCCAATCACTGTTTCATCTAAAGATGATGATGTCATTGAGGAGAATCCCGATGTGTTTCCCTCGCGTGATGTGACTCGAACTCAGGCTAAGAAATTAAGCCAAAAACAAATGATAGAAATGGATTCAGAGGAAGATATGATAGATTTGTCTCAAACATTTTTTGGATCCGACAGGGATCTTGTGAATGATTGTCCTCCTGCCAATACCTCGGTGAGTGACAGTTATGGATGTGAAGGATCTGATTAACCTGGTAAAGTTTCGTTTACTAAAAGTAAACTAATCACTGAACAAGAAAAGGATCCACAGATCTCTTCATTATTTAAATATGCACTCCCAAAAGATGAACTGGAGAACATTCCAAATGGTTATTTTTTCAAAAATGGTGTGCTTATGAGGAAATGGAGACCACCAAATGTGCCAGCTTCAGAGGACTGGGCTATTGTTTACCAGATTGTTGTTCCCAAAGCATATTGTGATGAAATATTGAAAGTTGCACATGAACTCCTTATGAGAGGTCATTTAGGTGTCAACAAAACATGTGACAAAATTATGAGACATTTCTTTTAGCCAAAAATTAGCCAGTTTACTTCCTCAGTTTTGTAAAACTTGTCATACCTGTCAGTTGGGTGGAACACCTAACCAGAAAATTCCTGTTGTTCCTCTGAAACTTATCCCAGCATTCAAAGAACCCTTCAGTCGTGTGATTGTTGATTATGTTGGGGCTTTACCAAAAACTTGATCGGGGAATCAGTATTTGTTAACTATCATTTGTGCATCCACTCAATTCCCTGAAGCTATCGCTTTGAGAAACATTTCAGCCCAAAAAAATTGCTAAGGCTTTGATCAATGTCTTTACTTTTGTTGGCTTGCCCAAAGACATTCAGTCTGATCAAGGATCAAATTTTATGTCAGGATTGTTTCAACAAGTTGTTTATCAGTTCGGCACTAAATAGATCAAAACTAGTGCGTACCATCCAGAATCACATGATGCTCTTGAGAGATTCCATTCTACCTTGAAAAATATGATGGGGACTTATTGTCTTGATAACAAGAAGGATTGCAATGAAGGAGTTAATTTATTATTATTTGCATTTGTGAGTCAGTTCAGGAGTCGTTTAGCCCATTTGAGTTAGTGTTTGGCCATCCAGTGTGTGGTCCTTTGAAGTTGCTGAAGGAACAATGGTTGGAAGACAATCCGAAAGAAATGCACTTGTTGGATTACATTTCCAAGTTTCGGTCCAGACTCTTATGTGCTTGTGAATTTGCTCAAAAAAATTTGAAGTCATCCCCCCCCCCATGTCAAAGGAGTTGATAACATTTGTGCTGATGCACTTTTACTTACCATGTAATTTTATAGTCATAACGTTATTTGTATTGATTGTGTTGTATACTGTAATTATTATTGAAGTTGTATAATCCTTTGAATAATGTATTATCTTTAATGTATTGTTGTCAATGTTTATATATATATAACACCTTAGTTAAAAATTGTCTAACACCAATTTTTAAAACTTTAAGGAGGAAGTTGTGACAGAGTTATTATTCTATATTTATTTTAATACTGATCTTTGTTTAAATTAAAGTTATATTTAGAAATGTATATAACTTATACAGTTAAATATGTATTGTGAAACTCCTGCCAATTCTCTAAAGTCGTAGAAGACTCTTGAGTGTAAGAATCAACAATATATGTGTGTACGTAAATGCCAGTGCAGCTTTGTATTGTTGTGTAATCTGAATTTTCGAGAAACTCTCCACACACCTATAAATATAATCAATGCCTAAAAAACAGTATCTATTATTGGTTTACTATAGTTGGTGTGCTATAAACTTTGGAAGCTATAACTGTGATTGTCATAATGCTAATTAATCGGGAAACTTAAGATAATTGATCAGGAACGTTTACAAATTTCGAACATTACAAACCATTTAACTTCTGTGGATTCACATCGGAAATTGGTACTTTTATGAAAACATTACCTAACGTCATTGGTGGAAACTCAACTCATAATTGGCGTGTGATCAGCAAGAAATACAGGGCTAGCTAGCTCCTTGTTAAGTGAATTATACCTACATCAACTTGAAATGAACTCGCTCATCATCAACCCTTGATAAGATATCAAGGAAGTTCCAGACTAGAAAGAAGACTTTATATAGCTTTTAAGTTTTTGAAACTTTTGTTTATAAATTAATGTTTGTAAAAACTATTTGTAATAACTGTTATTGTAAATCATATTGTTGTTTGTGTATTAAAATATATTTGTATTAAAAAAAATAAGAAACTATGTGTATCAATCTTGTTGGCATATATCATAAATTGGAGATATATCTGCACTTACTTAACTACTAAACTTAGCTCATTTTCAGACCATTCGAAATTGTAATATGTAACAAATGGTATAGTAGTAGAAAATTTCACCAGTTCTTTTTTGAATCCCCAAGGCCACTCATGACTGTTGGAGCACCTTAGATGCTAATGCATCATCAATGATACTCAAGCAGATATACCCGGTGGTGCCAATCTTCCCTCCAAGTACTTTATTGTTTCCTCCTGCATTTGACATTAAATGTTGTGGAAAGATACAGTTGCTGTACCACAGCAAGGTAAGATGCCTGGGCCCGTGTAAGGCTGTGTTTATTCAGAGTCTCAGTCACATCATTGATCTATGTCTTCCTGGGTAGCCTTCTTGCTATGAATCCTGTTATTTTCATATTATATGCTCCTACTATTGGTTGGTTGGGCTGCATTCTCACTATGTGGCCAAACTATGTAATTCTTTGCTTCTCAATGTATTCACTGATTAGGGCTGTTACAACCATTTCTCTGACCTTTACATTTGTTATCTTGTCACTTCTAGTTATGTTAGCAGCTTTCTCACAAGTGATAATTTTCCATTCTTGACATTGGTAACATAGAGTTGGTACAAATATGGTGTTTATTAATTTGAACTTTATTTCAATTGGAATATTTGGGTGTTTCAGGAGAGGTGTTAAGTGATCTATCCTTCCATCTTCTGTGAAAATACTTCTCAGGTATTTGAATTCATTGACCTGCTGTAAATTGTTGTTATTAATATTGACGTTTAACTGATGTGGTGTTCTACTTATTAATGATGCTTCTGTTTTCCTGTGCTGATTTTCATATAGTACCTTTGGCAGCTACTATTGAGGCTATTTGCATGGTTTTGTAGCTCTTCTTCATTTTGACATATCAAACTATGGCCATTAACAAAAAGTAATTTGTTTAAGGCTTCTGGATTTTGATTTGCTTCTTTGATGATCTGGTCCATATAAATAATAAATAGAAGAGGGGATAAGACACAGCCTAGAAAAGTAGTCAACAACAACATTGGAATGATCTAGTAAAAAAACAAGACAAAGTTGTTTGATACATGGGTAGTAATTGGTGAATGCTCTAATAATGAAATGACACAGAGTGATGCAACGTATAACCGGGACCCAGTGTATGTGAATACCAATCCTTGCTAAGTCGATAATTTTTATCTTGACCCTTTCAGTAGTGAATCACATAAAGTAGTAACTAGTTCAGATTCATGGGTTGGTTTTGAATACACTTTTAGCCTTAATGCAAACACTTACCATCAATAAAGACCTTGGTAAGTGAATGGTTTTCTGAATAGAATCCTTAACTTGAAGAATGAAAGGATACTCTGTGATCTGACCAGAAATGATGTTAGCATAACACATATGCAGTTAGAAACTGACACCTTCTAGACATGCACATGAAAATCATAACCATGAGTTTCTTATAGGGGAACACTCAGTGTCCAATAGAGAACTTCTCTGAGTGAACTGATCATTTCAATGGAGGACCAATGCATTATCAGGTTTGAACAATGGAGGACCAATGCATTATCAGGTTTGAACCTAAGAGTAAAGAGTAAATAAATTGTACTCAACACCCAATCTGAAAGTTAATGGGACCAAATTTGGGGAAATGGGTGGGCTTCAGGTCGATGTCACAGTTTCCAGTATTCAAGTTAGAACAAAAAGAAAATGTACTCCAATAAGGGCTCGATCTGTTAGCCTAAAAAGAAAACACCTTACTGCCCAAAGAATTCCACTGTCAATAGTGTTTAGCTATGAAGGTGCAGAATTTATAGGGTTGGCCATCCTGTGTTCCTCTTGCACAAAATAGTAGAAGTGTTCATGTTCAGACAGATACTATATTTAGTGGCAAGTAAGCTTTGTTGACTCTTCCCTGTTCATCTCTTATCTTTGAATTGATGAAAATCATGAAGAAAACAGCTTTATATAGTTGAGGAAAAATATCTTGTATTGCCCAACATGTGCAGCCACTACTGTGTTTTGTGTGGGATATTGGATTATTGGGTTAGTGCAAATTTGACCATACTGGTGGACACTTCAGATTCCATATACTGCAAGGAGTTAATTTCTATTCAGAATTTTAAAAAAGTAAGTAAGAGTATGCTTTATTTGATAATCAATTCACCAAATATGTCTCCCTGGCTAGAAGATTGGGTGTGAAATGAAAAACAATACATAAAAGAAAACAGTTCTGAAATAAAAGAATGCAAAAATTAACTTTACTATTAATAATACAGCTAAAGAATGTACAGATAGAGAAATCTTACTCCTGGAGACTAAATTCCAGAAATGTATCAAGTATCCAGAACAGCACTCCATAAGAACAGAAGCAGTGGAAAGGTGTGGTCATGGGATTGATTGTCATCAAGCATAAAGTCAACACAAAGTGCAACCTGTGCTATGCTCACCATAGATATCAAAATCCAGTTTTTAGCATTATAAGCCATCAGGATTACTGCTGAGCTATGGGATCGGATGAATGTCAAAAGTAGCTGAATCAAAATGAACTTAACTTTCTCAACTATGTTGTATGAAAACTGTATATACACAAAATAAATAGTAAACCCAAAATAATGTTATATCAAAGTAAGAAGGTATAAATGCATAATATCTTTATATACCACACTACTACATACTAAATATGTATGAAAACATCTTAATCCTTATTTCTTACCAAACATTTTCTTGAATTCCATTGAGACGGTCTGCTACAACATGACTTGTTCTTGAAGACTAAAATGATTTCAAAATTAATAAATATTAATACCATATACATATTTTAATAGAGGTTATAAGGTACTGCTAATAACGGACATAAACAAAATGTTGCTACAACCAAGATTTAGCAAAAAAAAAGCATTTGAAGGTTTTGAAGGAGGTTAGAGATTTATATGTGAGCCACTTACTCCTGTTTTTTGTCATTCCTTGAATATTGGGCAGGTACCAGAGAATTGAAAGTTAGTGAATGTAACTCCTCTTTTCAAGGGAGGTGATAAAAATTGTCCCAGTAATTACAGACTCATTAGTCTTACATCAGATGCAGGAAAATTTTTTGAAAGTTTATTAAAAGATGCTTTGCAAAGTAAGTTAACAAGTTTAGAATTTTATTGGATAGTCAACATGGTTTCACTAAGGGAAAATCTTGCCTTACAAATCTTTTGACATCCTTTGAAAAGGTTACTGCTCATGTAGATAAGGGTAAGAGGGTAAAGTAGGTGTATATGGATTTTCATATACATTTCAAAGCATTTGACAAGGTGTCACATAAAAGGCTTGTAAAAAATTATCTCTATAAGTATGTGGGGGGGGGGTAAGTTAGCTAACTGGATAGAAGAGTGGCTGGATGGAAGAAAGCACAGAGGATTGTTACAAACAAGAGTTCAGCCAAAGTGGATTAATGTTACAAGTGAATTATGTCAGGGCTCAATCTTAAGACCTTTGCTCTTTTTAACTTACATCATTGACACAGATGAATGAATGGTCAATAAATTATTTAAATTTGCAGATAATACTAAGGTCTTGGGTGTTTCTAGATGTGAAGAAGATGCTGCTGATTTACAAAAGGACTTGTATTATAATAAATCCAAGATAATACATGTGGGTTATCATAATTTGAATTATAAGTATCATTTAGATGGGAATAACCTTAACAGTGTTATGACGGAAATGGAACTTACTGAAATAGTCAAACAGTCTCTAAAGCCATCCAAGCAGAGTGCTGTTACTAGTGGTAGGCAAAATAGGATTTTAGGTTGTACCTATAAATATTGAATACAAATCTAAAGAGGTTATAATTTCATTGTACAGGTCACTGGTTAGGCCACATTTGAAATATTGTGTTCAGTTTGGACTCCTTACCTTGGGAAAGACATTGAATTGTTGGAAAGGGTTCTGAGAGGGGTTACTAGAATGGTGCCTGGGATGGAGGGGTTGTCATTGAGGTGTTTAAGATTGTAAAGGAAATTGATAGTGTTCATGCATCATCATTTTTCATATTTAACAGTGAAAATAGTAGGACTGGGGACACAAATATGAATTTCTACTAACTTTCTTCTTAAATGAAACTAGTTTAGCTTAACCACCAATGTTCCCTGTCTATAGAGAAAATAAGAGCAACGTGACTGAAAGCTTAAACGCCCATCAAGATCATGAATTCACTCACCAAAACATCAAAACCAACTGACCTATAGCTCTTCAAGTTCAAGACCACATATTTATCCAGCAAAAGTTTACACAAATTCAATCGTTTCATGGTTCTAAAGACTAGTAAAGTTACCATATAACTTGCGTTTAGCAAATAGAATAGTACCTGACGTAAGTTAAATGCTATACCAACTTGTGTTGTGCGGAAGCAAATCCTACGGTCAAGAATTTTCACAAAATACACATAAATGATCAATAAATAACACTTAGCCTGCCATTTACCATGAGAGAGGTGCGTCTACGATAAGTCGCTACTGATTCGTCAATATACAAATAATAACATGTATTAAATCACGTTCACGCGCTTAGCTTTGCACATGATGTTACCATTAGCCGACGATATATCCGAGCGAACAAGATCCTTCCTAATCGCGCACAAAGACCAAACGCTGATACAGCAACAACGATATTTTTGTAGCAAGCTATCGTGCACGAGGTTGAGCAAGGGTCACAATATCGAAATAAATTGTGAAAAACATCATACAACTGTATTATGGCTTAATTTACACATATCACGAAGCGATAAGTGTTTTCCACATTCTATTGAAATATATCATTTTAATATACATTCATTTTTCCAATGATAAAATCACTATTTTAGAAACAAATAGGTAATGTTAGCTTATCAACGGAATGGAGAGGTTATATTAGATTGAGAGAAAAAAACTCTTTACCCTTATGGATTAAACCAGGATTTTCAAAATCAAAGTGTAGATTTTGAAAGTAATGCCATTTGTATTATACGTTTATTTCAACTTGCCAGTTGCAACATTAAACAATATATATATATTG